CGATGATGCCGCTGTCTTTGCTGTCGAGGGTGGAGCTGGGGCTGGTGATGCAGACGGCTGTGAGCCCTGGCCGGCCGCTGCTGTTCAGAGTGGAGCAGGGACTGTCTGTACTGGGAGACGCTGTGCTGCTGGTCAGGGTGGAGCACGGACTGATGCCCTGATTCACTGGACACTGCAGACACACACACAGATTCAGCATGTTATGACACATTTAACGGTCATCAGCATCTTAAATCCATGAATGCTTTTAATATTTATGCACGTTTATATATATTTAGATATGCATCATATCATCTCTGCATCAAATTACAAAAACTCATTACTGCATGCGTGAAGTGTTGCTAATGCAGCATCTCTGGACAGTAACATTCACATTATTCTCTCTGCTGGCTGCTGTGATCAGTTTCACACTAATGTTTTTCTTTTTCTGAAAATCTTGATAACACCATCCTGAAGTTTTTCCTTCATTATTACAACAAATTTTCATTCATTCATTCATTCATTCATTCATTTTCTGCCGCTTTTCCGAGGCCACGGGGGGAGCAGTCTTAGGAGACAAACCCAGACTTTCCTCTCCCCAGACACTTTCTCCAGCTCCCCTAGGGGAATCCGGAAGCGTTCCCAGGCCAGCCGAGAGACATAGTCCCTCCAGCATGTCCTAGGTTTTCCCCGAGGCCTCCTCCCGATGGGACATGCCTAGAACACCTCACTAGGTAGGCGTCCAGGAGGCACCCGAAACAGATGCCCAAACCACCCCAGCTGACTTCTCTCGATGTGGAGGAGCAGCGGCTCTACTCCGAGCTCCTCCTGGGTGTCAGAGCTCCTCAGCCTATCCATAACGATGCGCCCTGCCACCCTGCGAAGGAAACTTTTTTTTGCCGCTTGTATCCGAGATCTTGTCCTTTTGGTCATGACCCAAAGCTCATGACCATAGGTGAGAGTAGGAACGTAGATTGACCGGTAAATCAAGAGCTTTGCCTTTTGGCTCAGCTCCTTCTTCACCACAACGGACCGGTACATCAACCGCATTACTGCTGCCGCTACACCAATCCGCCTGTCAATCTCACGTTCCATCCTTCCCTCACTCGTGAACAAAGCCCTGAGATACTTAAACTCCTCCACCTGGAGTAAGGTCTTCCCTCCAACCTGGAGAAGGCAACACATTTAGTAAAAAAATAATGATTAGTTGTCCTCTCCCATTCACTGCGCTCTGAGTTTACCCACTATGATGACTTCTGCTGCTGAGAAACCCGGAAATGTGAAAAGAATCAATTATTAGAGACCTGTATGATGCAAACAATGCTGCTTTTAGACATTTGTAAAGGGCTTAATGGTTGAAGAGTTGGACTAGTAATCGTAGGATTGCAGGAATGAATCCCGGTACCAGCAGAAACTGAAGATGAGGTGAACGAACCACACTCTTTCAATCTTCAACACCCAGCTGAAGTGCCACTAAACAAGGTACCAAAACCCTAACTGCTCCCAGGGTGCTGGAAGAAATAGAAGCCCACTGCTTGTGTGTGTGCGTGCTTTCACTTGTCATGTGTGTGTGCACTTTGATGAGCAGAGGACCAATCTCGAGTACGGGTAAGCATACTTGACATTACTCACTTCATTTCTGCTTACAAACTTACTGATCGTACAGTAACAAGGAATTGTTACCACCTAATCATGGCAACATTAATCACATCACTGACATACACAGATGGTAATATTTAAATAAAAACCTGCGTCAATGCTATTGTTTATAGTATATCTATCTATAATGTATATCTGTCTATCTGTACATCTGTCTGTCTATTTATCCATCCACCCTACATTGATATTTAATTACAGATTTTTTTTTTTACTACAAATGATGCATGTTAATCATACCCCACTGATATTTACATTATAATGTTTAAATTAAAAACTTCCTCAATGACATTATTTATAATAATAATTTATTTAGACATCTGTCTGTCAATCCATCCATCCCACACTGATATTTGAACATTATTATTTACATAATATTTTGGTTCTTTTTTTGTGAATCACTTTGGATTAAATCATTTGTTTTGAGATGAACTTCATGAATAAAAATTAGATTTGATTTGATTTTTGACAGTCAAATTGCTGTTATAAAAAATATTAGATTTACATATCTAGAGTGCATCCAGAAAGTATTCATAGCGCTTCACTTTTTGTTTTTATGTTACAGCCTTACTCCAAAATGAATTAAATTCATTTATTTCCTCAACATTCTACACACAATCCCCCATAATGACAACAGGAAAAAAAGATTAAAACTGTTGCAAATTTATTACAAATAAAAATGCTGAAAAATCACATGTACATCAGTATTCACAGCCTTTGCTCAATGCTTTGTTGATGCACCTTTGGCAGGATTACTACCTCAAGTCTTTTTGAATATGATGCCACAAGCTTGGCACACCTGTCTTTGGGAATTTTTGCCTATTCCTCTTTGCAGTACCTTTCAAGCTCTATCAGGTTGGATGGGAAGCGACGGTGTACAGGCATTTCAGATCTCTCCAGAGATGTTCAATAGATTTAGGTCTGGGCTCTGGCTGGGCCACTCAAGGACATTCACCGAGTTGTTGTGAAGCCACTTCATTGATATTTTGGCAGTGTGATTTGGGTCATTGCCCTGCTGGAAGATGAACCGTTGCCCCAGTCTGAGGTCAAGAGCTCTCTGAAGCATGTCTTCATTCAGGATGTCTCTGTTCATTGCTGCATTCATCTTTCCCTCTATCCTGACTAGTCTTTTGCTGAAAAACATCCCCACAGCATGATGCTGCCACCACCATGCTTCACTGTAGGGATGATATTAGCCTGGTGATGAGCGCTGCCTGCTTTTCTCCAAATGTAACGCCTGGTGTTCACTCCAAAGAGTTCAATTTTAGTCTCATCAGAGCAGAGAGTTTAGTTTCTGATGGTCTGAGAGTCCTTCAGATGCCTTTTGGAAAATTTTAGGCGGGGAGTGTCTTCCGTTTGGCCACTCTACCATACAGATGCCTGATTGGTGGATTGCTGCACAGATAGTTGTCCTTCTGTAAGGTTCTCCTCTCTCCACAGAACAACGCTGGAGCTCAGACAGAGTGACCATCAGGTTATTGATCCCCTTCCTGACTGAGGCCCTTCTCGCTTGATCACCTAGCTTAGATGGCCGGCCAGCTCTAGTCCTGGTGGTTACAAACATCTTCCATTACAGATTATTGGAACTTTCAGAGCAGCAGACATTTTTCTGTAACCTTTCCAGGCCTGTCTCAAAGGCCTACAGACAATTCCTTTGTCTTCATGCTTGGTTTGTGCTTTGACATGCACTGTCAACCCTGGGCTCTTATATAGACAGGTGTTTGCCTTTTCAAATCATGTCCAATCAGCTGAATTGACCACAGGTGAACTCCAATGAAGCTGCTGAAACATCTCAAGAATGATCAGTGGAAACAGAATGTGCCTGAGCTCAATTTAGAGCTTCACGGCAAAGGCTGTGAATACTGATGTACATGTGATTTTTCAGCTTATTTATTTTTAATCAATTTAATCAATTTCAAAAACTTTTTTTCCACATAGTCATTATGGGGGATTGTGTGTAGAATGTTGAGGAAATCAATGAATTTAATCCATTATGGAATAAGGCTGTAACATAAAAAATATGTGGAAAAAGTGAAGCGATATCAATACTTTCTGGATGCACTGTATGTGTACACACACACACACACACACACACACACACACACACACACACACACTTATATATAACAGTTCTTTCTGGTTCTCAGATCTGATTGGCCGATGAGCATGTGATATGCAATATCAGAACTCGTACAGCCTCTTCACTTTACTCCGGCCACATAGAAAGACAGCAGATCAATAACTCACTACATTTTGACAAATATTACAGCTGTTGAACAACAATGTAACTTTAAGACTTTTTTAGGCAATAATGCAGTTTTTAGATTGCAACTATAAAGTTTATTTATACTATATTATATAGTGTCTATTTTAAATATCTATAATTTTAGAGATTCAACGTGTCGGCAGCCATCAGTCTGTCAAACTGAGCAGAGCAAAGGCGGTCGACGCTCCGCCTCAAGATGGCAACAGAGACTGCATTATACATCTTTAAGGGAGAAAATCTCAGCATTTTAGAAAGTGAGCAAATCATTAAACAGGTAAGTGGCATTCTGAATCGAGCTCTTTCTTTTGTATGTACAGTAGTATTGCTGTATTTATACCATAGTAATCTGCTAGTGTTTGCTTTGCTTTGGATTTTTCGGGGTTAATTTTTGTGATCTCCCGATTGCAACAGAAATACTGGGATATCTCTGTAGACTGATGGCATTTCAGGCTGTTCAGCCTAATAATCTTAAACTGTGAGCAAAATCAGCTGTTTTGTCTTCACGTTAGACATTACGCTAGAGAATCATTCAAACACTAGCTCTACAGTGACATTTGTGAATTAGTAACGGTTTCTGCTGTTCTGACGTCACGATTATGCCATCTAACTGTTGTAAAAACGCAATATCACACTTGAGGCTGTGCGATGGGGCTGTATATCTTCACTGGTGGGAAACTAAGGCACTCGGCTTGTGGCCTCGAGCTAACGCATGCCTCCCACCAGTGTCGATATACAGTCACATCGCACTGCTACTCGTGTGATATTGCTCATATATAATAACAATAATAAAATAATCATAATTAAGCTACTTAATCAATAATAATTGTAAATAATCATTTTTGAGCTTCAAAAGCATTTTCATTATAAAAGAGGAACTTTTAGAGTGAATATTTCACATGTTCAATTATCTAGATAAGACACAACAACACACTGTGCCATTAACCATCCAGAATCAATCAGATTGTTTGTGTTTTTCTGGAGGACCCCAAACCAGTAGCGGTCCCCGTGATGCATCACCACAGCTCTGAGTCAGTCAAGGTCACAAAAGCAGATCAAAAGTTCCTCTAAAACAAACTTCCAAAAGCATCCTGATGAAACAGATTAAAGAGAGAATCCCGCCGGACCAGATCCTCATGCAAAAGCGCACCGGATCATTAAGCGCTCGCATTGTTGCTTCCCTCCACACGAGACTCCCAGAGCGATGATTTATTAAACAAAAGCCTCTGGCACATGAAGGACATCCAGACGCTCGACTCAGCCTAATTATCCCATCATCTACAGACCAAACGAACAACGGACAGAACAAAACTATTCCTAGAGCAGACCTGGAGTTTAACACGCTCCTCTGACTCAAGTTTCCGTCAGTGTGTGCAATGCAGCGGCTCCGAGTAAACGCCAGTGACTTACTGTGGTTGCGCACACACACACTCCTGCTCGCAAACGCTCTTCATCGCACCGCGCACTGACAGACGGCACACACACGCGGCTTTAATCCCTGCGCTTTTCTGCATCTCGCTCCGGCTGCAGCTGTGGTAAATACCTTTTTGTCATTCTTGCCGTCCATAGGTATGTGTGTGGAGCCCGGGATGCCTTCGCCCAGCAAGAAGCCCAAGCGTGTCATCAACTCCTGAGTGGAGGAGGAGGAGCCTGAGAGGGAGAGAGTTAGAGAGAGAGAGAGAGAGAGAGAGAGAGAGAGAGAGAGAAAGACACTGGTGAATGAGAGCGACAGATTTCAGCACATCTACACAGACACCAGACACATAACAGCGGCTGCACAACAGTCATTCAGAGACTGAACAGATGAGGAGTGTGTGATGATCCAGATTCAGAAAAATTATTAAGAGAAATGAAAACCATTGACAAAACCTGATGCTGGTCTTCATCAAAACCACAAAAAAACTAAACAGTTCTGGTCTTCATGGAAAGCATTGAGAAAAAAATAAAAACCATTGAGAAAACATGAACTACTCTGTTCTTCATGAAGACCACTGAGAAATGTGAAAACCATCATGGGAAAAAACAACAACTGTTGTTGGGATTTATGAAAACCACTGAGAAAACACAAACTGTTCCGGTCTTCCCAAAACCACTGATAAAAACCAAACTGTTGCCGGTCTACATAAAACCACTGAAAAAAAAAACACTGAGAAAACCCAAACTGTTCTGGTCTTCATGAAAACCATTGAGAAAACCCAAACTGTTCTGGTCTTCATGAAAACCATTGAGAAAACCCAAACTGTTGCTGGTCTTCATGAAAATCATTGAAAACCCTAAACTGTTCTGGTCTCCATGAAAACCATTGAGAAAACCCAAACTGTTGCTGGTCTTTAAACCGATTATGACATTCATGATGAAAGTGAAACATGAAAATGAAAGAAAAGCCTCAATTGGCGGCGTTACATTCAGATCTGAGCAGGTTGCATCAGATTTCTTTTAGCACCGAGGTTAATAACCAATCACAAGAGTTAATGTAAGAGATGCATTTTGAAGCTTCATTTTAAGTTTTTACATTTTATACATGCATATACAGTGTAAGACAGAATTACTAGCACTCCTGAATTATTAGCCTCCGTTTATTTTTTCCCCAATTTCTGTTTAGCGGAGAGCAGATTTCTTCAACACATTTCTAACCATAATAGTTTTAATAACTGATCTATAATAACTGATTTATTTTATCTTTGCCATGATGACAGTAAATAATATTTGACTGGATATTTTTCAAGACACTTCTATACAGCTTAAAGTGACATTTAAAGGCTTAACTAGCTTAATTAGTTTAACTAGGCAGGTTAGGGTAATTAGGCAAGTTGTTGCATAAAAAAAATTAAAAACTGCTTTTATTCTAGCCGAAATAAAACAAATAAGACTTTCTACAGAAGAAAAAATATTATCAGACATACTGTGAAAATGTCCTTGATTTGTTAAACATCATTTGGGAATTTTTTTTTTTTTTTAATAATTGTATTTTATTGGATTTTTCAAGAACAACCACAAAGACACACATACATATATATACACATACACAAACACACACAACACTAGGCACTGTCTCGGACAAATCCCATACAATGAGTCAATGAACAAATAACAATGACATCACAGTTTAGCAAGTGACAACAGAAAATATTTGGGAAATATTTAAAAAAGAAAAAATAAATATTTAAAGGGGGGGTAATAATTCTGACTTTAACTGTACATATATACAGTGTAAGTCAGAATTTTTAGCCCTCCTGTTAAATGTTATGCTTAGTTCTAATTTCTAATAACTGATTTCTTTCATCTTTGTCATGACGACAGCACATAATATTTGACTAGATATTGTTCGAGATACTGTACTAGTATTCACAGGTTTCATATACATTTTTACTACTAAAATTCCATGACTTTTCCATGATTTTTTCAAGACTTTCAAGTAAATTTTCATGAGCTAATGCTTCATGCAATGTCTACATATGCGTGGTAAAAGAAAAAAAAAACAATGCATGTTCAAATTAATTACAGCATACCGTAAAACATGCAGCAATTCATTTAGTTTTAATTTATATTTATATCTATGTACAGTGCACAATTAACGTGAGAGTATCTGATTGGCCAAGGACAGAAGAGAAGTGAATAACCTATATTTAAGTGTACAAATATTTGTTTTATCTGACTTTTCCAAAACTTTGAGGTTTTTTCTGTTTTTCCAAAACTTTTCCAGGGCTAGAAAATGGCATGTCAAAATTCAATGACTTTTCAAGGTTTTCCATGACCGTATGAACCCTGTGTTAGGCTTAAAGTGAAATTTAAAGGCTTAAGGTTAACAAGGTTAATAAGGCAGGTTAGGGTAATTAGGCAAGTTATTGTATAACAGTGGTTTGTTCTGCAGACTATCAGAAATAAATGTTGCTTAAGGGGGCTAATAATATTGACCTTAAAATAGGTTTTAAAAAATTAAAAACGGCTTTTATTCTAGCCGAAATAAAACAAATAAGGCTTTCTCCAGAGGAAAAAAAATTATCAGACATACTGTGAAAATTTCCTGAATCTGTTAAACATCATTTGGGAAACTTTTGAAAAAGAAAACATATTGCACAGGAGGGCGAATATTTTTTTTTTAAAAATTGGCCATAGTGTGTGTGTGTGTGTGTGTGTGTGTGTATGTGTGTGTGTGTGTGTGTGTGTGTGTGTGTGTTTCCCTGTACTGGAAGGGCATCTGCTGTGTAAAACATATGCTGGAATAGTTGGTGGTTCATTCCAATGTGGCGACCCCTGATAAAATAAAGGGACTGAGCTTAACGAAAATGAATGAATGAATTAAATTATACAATTTCCTTCATACTTTCTAATGTGTCCAGTTAAATTCTAATAATTAAATTATTATTAATAAAAACAATTGTTACACATCTAGTTCATGAATTACAGAAGATATGGGCTCAAAAATCTCAGTGTGACAGTATATTTGTATTTGAGAAATTTTATTATTAATTGTTAATTATTTACTTTCGTCAATCTTTGGCAGGATTATTATTTTATTTGGTGTTTGACGTAATCTCAACTGAAACATAAAGAGAGGGCGGGACATATGGTAGCCCCTCCCCTTTATTAAAAACAGCCAATAGAGTTGTTTTATACTTTACTAGTTGATCCCTTTGGACGTGACAAACCGTAAGCTATTGATACAAGGCAAGGCAAGCCTATTTAAATATATTTGTATTTCATACATAACGCTGATTTAAAGTGCCTTACTGTCACACAACCAGCGATCGCTTTCCAGAGATCGCTGGTTCTCACACGAACTCTCAAAACTACATTTCCACATTTCCCAGGACTACATTTTCATACATGCACTGCTCCCAAACACGCACACCTGTTCATTCATCTATCCTGATTGCAATCACCAGCTGAACCTTGTCACAGACTGATATCACTCCATTCATAAGCCACTCTTTCACCCTTCCAGTTTGCCGAGTCTTGTTTGCATCTTTGTGACATTACAACGCGTTTCCCTGTTTTGTTTTCTCCGTGTTAGACCTTAGCCTTGTCACCCTTGTTCTCTAGTTTAGCCGCCTGCCTTTCGACCTTTAGCCGGTTTATCGTTTATGATTCTGGACTGTCTATATATACCCGTTTGCACCTGATGACCACTGCTTGCCTGACATTGAATAAACCTGCATATTGGATCTTACCACTCCCCCCGATCGTTACACTTACATAAACAAGGAATAAAAGAGACAAGAAAATAAAAACAAAGAATTAAAAATTATTAAAAACCGAATAAAATGTGTTAAAACGGGTTGTAGAGAAATGAAAAAGAAAAGTGAAACATAATAGTGTGATCTGTGGTACGCAGCACAGTGCTCATTCAGTAAAGGCACAGATAAACAGATGTGTTTTCAGTCTTGATTTGAACATGCCTAATGTTGGAGCACATCTGATCATTTCTGGAAGCTGATTCCAGCAGTAGGGGGCGCTGTTAGTAGCTGAAGGCCGATTCACCCTGCTTTGACTGAACTCTTAAGAGTTTCTAGTTTAGTTGATCCTAATGATCTGAGTGATCTGTTGGGTTAGTATTCAGTGAGCATATCTGTAATGTATTGAGGTCGTAGGCCATGAGTGATTTATAGACAAGTAATAATACTATAAAATCTATTCTGAATGTAACTGGGAGCCAGTGTAGAGACCTGAGGACAGGTGTGATGTGCTCTCATTTCCTGGTTCTGGTCAGAATCCTATCCGCAGAGTTCTGGATGAGCTGCAACTGTCTGACTGTCTTTTTGGAAAGGCCAGTGGGCAGTCCATTACAGTAATCCATTCTGCTGCTGATAAAAGCATGAACAAGTCCTCACTGGAATGTTTTTGAGACGATGGTACGCTGCCATTGATATTTATTTCAGGTTTATATCTTCTAAACGCAAATTTTGGGTCACAATAACTTATGGATATCCTTAAACCTAACATAGCAACTAACATGCTGTGAAATATGGGCAGATTTATTCGATGTTTGACGTAATCTAAACTGAAACTGAGTGCGGGACAGAGTAGCTCCTCCCCTTTTTTAATAAACAGCCAATGACGTTGTTTTGATCACAGCTTTGCCAGTAAGAGTGGTTAAAATCAAGTGCATCAAACAAATAGCGAAGGAGAAGAAATGGGCGGGGCATGTCAGAGAATAGAGAGTATTTGATTGGTCAGAAGATTTGATGAGAAACTGAAGTATGAGGTGTCGTGAATAAAAAAGTATCCATTTAGTCGGAAGTGACAAACTGCAAGCTTTGGATGCTTATATCAGGATTATATCGGGCTTATAGATATCGGGCTAACATACTGATACTAACATTTAAAAGACTTGATTGTAATTCCAGGGAGTCTTCAAAATAGTTACGTTTCCTCATGAGATGGCGCTGTATTATCTTGACATTTCAAAAATAAAGCACGGGCCAAAAGTCTCTCTCTGTGGTGTCTGGATGTCTGCTTTCATTCATGCTTGAGCGCTGCGGGGGGCTCATTTACATGCTCCCCCAAAACCCCACACAGCTCAGCGCCGGAGGACATCTCAGCAGAGGCTCTTCTTACAGAGGAAAAGCCAACAAATGCACAAAACATCTGTTCCCGCCAATGCCAGCGTTACAGCAACAAGATGTTAACAGGTGCCCTTTTCACTGCCC